CTAAACAATGCTATTGATACTTCTACATTGTATCAGAGGAGGACTAATACCCACACCTCTCTTCCCATGGTGCAATCTTCCTCCTCACAAATTGGGGATCCACCATAAGCAGGATTTACAGAAAGCTGTGCCATACCTACCTCTCTAAAGTTTGTCATCTCCAACATTCGGACAATCATTCTTATTCAACTCTCCGGCGAGAAATACTCCGTCTGGAAATCTCAGGTTCTCAAATCGCTACACGCAAATGGCTTTGCAACTTTCCTCCTTAGATCCAGTTTGCCTATACAGATGCCTGATGGTTCCACTACCACAAACCGTCAATACACTGAATGGATCCTTATTTATCAGAACCTAGCCGCTACCATTTGCTCCATTGTATCTTCTTCAATCCTTCCTTACATTATTTACCTTGACTCCTACTCTGCCATATATATATATATATATATATATATAGTTGATAACATCGCTGCAGCAGGCGCCACCATCAACACTGATGATATCATCATGTATACACTTAATGGGCTTCCTCCCTCCTACAGGCATTTAAGACATCAATTCGCACCATGCATCATCCAATCAGCCTAGATGATCTCTATTCATTGTTAATGAGCGAAGAAATGAACATTCAAGCCGAGTCCCTCAAATAGCTCTCAGTCACTGATTCAACCGTGGATCTTGACTCCTCTCGGGGCAAGGGACATCGAGGATGGGAGAGGTTTTCCCAATTGCCTTCCCGTGCATCTTCAGTTAACCTTCCCGCATGTCAGATTTGTAATAAGAAAGGGCATCCAGGGCGTGCTAGCATTGCCTCAACTTATGCTACAATCCCAGCACATCTCTCACTCAGACTCAGACTGTCTCCAAAGCCATGATGGCCACCAACGAACCCCCTAATCTCGATTGGTACCTCAATTCCAATGCCTCCTCTCACATGAAGAACAACCTGGACGACCTGAATCAGCCTCTACCATACGCCGGACCGGACAACATCACCATTGGTGATGGTCATTTCATTCTGATTGCCCATTTTGGATCTCGTATATTACGCACCCCTAACAATAAGTTGTGTTTATATCAACTACTCCACATTCCTCAACTCTCTCATAATCTCTTATCAATTTCTACTATAGACAAAGATAATAACATTTATATATATTTTGATGCAAATGGCTTCATCATTAAAGACTTGAAGATGCATCAAGTTCTTCTCAAGGGACCAAGCTCTAACGGGCTCTACCATGTTTCATCTCCTAGTCACACCGCTCTCTCTACAACAACTCAGATGTCATCTCTCTGGCACAAACGTCTTGTCCACCCACACCATCAAGTGCTCAAGACTATCTCTAACAGCCACAATTAATTCCATATTCCAATTTCTAAGTTTTTTATTATGATTGTAAGGTCTCCAAAGGACACAAGCTTTCTCTTTCAAATTACATATTGTGGGCTCAAAAAATTCGGCCCCGGCCTTCGCCCGCTTTGCTTTTTTTTTCAGGGGGAGTTTTAACGAATTAAGTTCCAGGGTAAATTTTGAAAAGGCAGATGGATTTGTAGATAAGACAATAACCAGAGATTTCATCCTCATTTAACTAGGACTTTATGATCTGAGTTTTGGTTTCCTATAGGCGCAAGCCCCAATAATTTATTACCCCTCCCAATAATGAGAGAGAACTTTCGATTAAGGCTAGTCGTCAATCAGATACGTAGAGATACGTGTATCTGGCATATAGTAGAAGCATGGGCATTGGGTTTTGGAACTGCTCAGCTTTGGCTTGCTTCGTCCAAGAATATCTTATGGACATGGGGTTGATGTTTGTCCAAGGGGACAAATTTGAATCCATCTTAGCTACCTAAGGGCTTTGTGCCCTATCGATCATATCCTATTGATTCATATCTCAAGAATTTGATGCCACTAAGGAATGCATTGGCTCTGACCATAACTAGTATCTATGGTGCAATTCTGCCACAAAATCACTAGGTTCAAAGGGCCCTGGGTTATAACCGTTTATCTTGTGATACCATTTGGCGGCAAAACTGTCAGTTAAAGGACACGAACCATGTACTTACTGGTAGGAGACTGTTTGAGAATGGATCCAAGTAATATTTTTGACTAGGCATCAACTCTTTGTGAGCTAAAGTAGTTTTTAATTCGTCTACCTCAGCAAATTGTTGCAAATGGTGGATAAATTTTGTTTTAAACATTGATGCTTGGTTTCAATTCTAAAACATTTAGAGTTTTGGGATTTTTTTTTATTTTTTTTATTTAAATTTTGTGGGTATTTGAGTGGAGCTTAGAAAGTACTTGAATACTCGAAATTAACCCCTCTAATTGAGATTTTCGTTCAACACGCCCATCATCGTGGTGACCTTGAGGTTACTTGAAAACATTTGAATTTTGATAAAAATTTGAGAACATTTTAAAATATTTGAAATTAACCCCTCCGGTTGAGATCTTCTGTCAATGCGGCTATCATCGGGGTGACGGGGTCATTTCTATTTTATTGGTAGAACCCTGTCGACTTTATCCATTTTCTGATAGAAGATCAGGTTTTGTCATTGGCTTTGTGCATTTATCAGTGAATTCTCATTGTTATAGGCCTTGAAGGCTTAATATGAATGTATTAAGACAAATATACAGGTCATTATAACCGTATATTTGTTTGATGGTTCAAACCCTATCAACTCCTATTGATCATAGAAGGATTGGGTCCGAACTTGAATTCACTCATTGACCCGTGTAACGTCCCTAGACGTCACGTGTCCCACAATACGCTCATCGGGGCCCATGCGAGTTCTATGATTGCATTTCTCCCTTTTGTGTACCTATGTGTATACAAATTATGATGCATGTATGGGGGTATTTTTGGAATATTTAATTTCGATCATCTTTATAGGCAACAATTATTTGAATGCATAATTCTATTTGGGGGCATATGCACGCCTTTTATATGAATATTGTGAATCTGGTGGCATGGCGTTGTACTGCGGTGATTTGCCCATTTTGTACAAGTAGACTATCATTGACTACTTATAATTTTCTATGGATATATTGTAGTGCACTAACGAATCTCCTGCTTAATATCTGTAGATACTTACATCCACATAGTTTTTTTATATTTTCCCGCAGACAGCATGTTGAATGTATAATGGATCTCTTTCAATGTCATTAATCCCTCGCACAAACTCTTGTACGATCAAGAGATTCATCCCATCGACAGTGTATTTCTCGTTGCCACTTGCATACATGTCAATGTTTTCATTTCAATCTCTATGTCGATTGCAGGCTAAACTATGTTTCTCGAAAATCCCTGTATGTTGATTTGTACCCTACTTAGATCTTGTAGGACCTTTCTCTTTCATAGTGTTTGCAAGCGAATGTAGTAGGAATTACTGCATCTTTCTTCTGAGGCTTTTCTCCTTCAACATGAGTAGCAATATTTTTCTAAATCACATTGTAGATGGAGGGCATAACAATTTTCTTTATGCCATAGTTTCAAGTCAATGTTTCTTGATATTGTAATTGGTCTCCTGGAGAAGGATCTAATTTGATTTCATTCTTTCCATGATTAACCATTAGCTTTATATTCTTTCCTGTAAGCATTCCACCAGAAGAATGCCTTAAGTATTCATTGGAGATATTGGAGGAGTCTTTGTTGTAGTATTGGATGGGTAATTACACCACAAATACTTTGTTCGTGCTTGTATTCATGACTTATGCATGCTTGTAGGTGAATCATGTCAACAATAACAAGCAATCCCTTGTCTATGTTCTGTTGGTGACTATTATCTTCTTTGCATGGTGAAACTGCCATAATTGCTTATTGGTATTTACATTTCAACTTATACAATCATTATAAATGAGATGTATTATTTCGAAGGTCTCATGCTATTGTTTATAAGAAAATCGTCATATTCTCTACAATCTTCATTGGTCAGTTTCTTATGCATGAGCCGTCACATACCATAGGTCCTTCAATGCCTTTGAAGAGAACTCATATCACATGTGGTAGATCCATTGCTGATGTTTGGATTTTAGTTGACATGATGCTCCCTTGATAACTCATTGAGATCCTTCGTTGTTGATTGTAGGCATACCATCTCACAAACCTTTTAGTCTTTACTTGTATATATGTTACATTTGTTGCAATCATCCCAACTTGATTATAAGAAAGTTATGTTAAAATCTGCGAGTTCTACATTTGATTATTGTTGTTCATTAGAAAGATCTAGATCTTCATTTAGCATTTGCATTGATATAATTGAGTATTTGTTAAGTTGAAGTCCCACTCTATTGGAGTGACAAAAAGTAACGCATAGTTGCTCGTTCTTCAACCAAGGCGAAATACAGGGCACTAACGGTTGCCACTGCAGACAATAAGTGGCTTCGAAAACTACTCAAAAACTTACAGATTCATCTTCCAAAATCAACTAAACTCTAGTGCGACAACACTTCAGGCGTAGCCCATGCCAATAATCCGGTGTTTCACGCCAGAACCAAACATATCGAGATATATCAACACTTCATCCGGGACCACATCCATTCTCAAATGATCTATGTCACACCGGTCACCACACAGGATCAGCTTGCTGACATTCTCATAAAACTGCTCTAAAATCCTAGATTTCAACAATTGGGAAACAAGCTCACTGTCCAACTAGGACCGTTAGCTTGAAGGGAGTATTAAAGCACTATGCTCAAGGACGTTCTTTCCTCCATAATCTCCTCCCGGCGCAAATCTATCACAGACTCACATGTGGACATCTAGAATACTCTTCCGCTTACTTCTCTCTATGTTAGACAACATTAATACAATGGACTGAAACTTTTACAAAAAGCTGCTATTGATACTTCAACAACTTTCATATAAAATCAGAGTAGTCGTCCATTGAAACAATTAACATCATATTAAAGATCAAACAAGCCAAAAAATCAAGAAATCATACATGTCGCCAGTTTTGATAGATATATCGTCTTGCATGTAAAACAATAAGAAGCGTATAAAATTGAGCAACTAAATTAAAAAGCATAGTCGAGTTAACAAAAGGAACCCATCAACTTAAACAAAAACACAAGTACATAAAGACCTGACTCGACAAAGAAGGAAATCACAAGACATTTTCTTTAGGTACTACGAAAGAGCCTTCATGACCTGGCTAGACCAACAAACGAAAACATAAGACAATTCCATAGGTACAATACACAAGCATATCTCTTACAAGCAGGAAGAAAACAAGCCAGTCCATGCCCTCGCTCGTAATAGTTACTTTACAGAAATCGGTTGAGGTATTCGTCCACAGAGGTATACTTGACATCAGGGTAAAGCTCTGTAGCCTCCACTCCAAACGACTGGTGTATCTCAAAGTTTGTTTGATCTCCCTTCACAAATGTCGCGTGATGTATCGACAGAATAACATTCAGCGGCGCTGGTGCTTCTGCAATCCATAGAAAGTAGCAACATAAGTAAAATCATAACCTAAAACTAGTAGACTAATATCAATAATGCTTTTAGATTACTATTAAATCATCAATAACTTTTGTAATCATCGATACCTTGGATCTGTTTGAGGATTTCATCTTCAGAAATATAGACCCTTTCGAATGTCTTTCCAGTCTTCTTCTCCCAAAGTGAGACTAGTTCGTTATGCGTGTAGATGTTTCCAGAAGGTCTCAAATACAACACCTTGTTGAGGGTTCTTGGGTCATCCACAGATTTAACGGTGAATGTGCCAATATCTTCTTCATAAGTGAAGATCGCTGGAACACATCAATGGAATGAAATCCAATTATATCAAAATATTCTTCGATAAGTCTGCTTTCAATTCTTTATCGTCTAACTTTACCAAAAACCAAATAAAGCCCAAGTCTGGACTAACATAATTACCTTTAGTGTTGCCATCGCCCAGGATAATGACCTTATCAGTTGGAAGGCTCGTAGTGGTCGCTTGTGCCAAGGAAGGAAGGAAATACCCGGCAAAGAAGTTGGATGACACATAAGTGTAAGGAATTTTCTCTGCCTCAATTGCTCGACGAATCTGGGATTTTATTCCGAACGCTGACTTAGCAGGATCAACAGCGTTAGTTCGGTCAACATCATTGCCAAACTCAGAAGGAAGGAACCTCTGCAAGAAATACAGTAGCATAAAATGCATGATCAACTGATCCCTCTCTTCTGTTTTGATTATAATTTCCTTTTTTTTTTTATTTGAAAAGTTATCTTCTATAATTAGAGGTCATGCTAAAGTTCAGTAGCCTATAACTTTAATTTGTTTTAACATGCAAAACAAAAGAGGAGAACCATGAAATAAAAACAAAAAACTAATGCAGGGTTTAAAGATTTAATAACCTTGATGTTGCCCGCCTCTTTAATGGCAGCAATAATCTTGGTCTGGTCAGCAAGCTGCCCAAATCCAACAGCTGATATAACCACATCCACGTCCTTTATCGCCTTCACCAAGCTATCGTGATCGTACAAATCCCCCTGCAAAAACATAATCAAAAAACAAGAAATTAATGCTACTGTATCTAATAGGATTCGCATTTAAAGATAAAACGGTTAGGGCTTATCGCAGGTTGCTCGTAAGCTGATTCCTACATGAACGAGAGTAACGCCGTGGGCCTTGAATTCGTCGAGGATCTTGGCCTTGGCTGGATCGGCCGCAGTGCTCTCCCTGACGAGGGCGAAGGTGGGGTGACCTTCTTGCGCACTCGCCTTTACGATGAACTTTCCGATGTAGCCCGTCCCGCCGATGATCAGAATCCGACTCTTCTCTGCAGCCATATTGATCAGCTTTTCAATTTCCTCTTTCTCTTTCCCTTCTCCTTTCTCTTCTCAGGAAATGGTTATAGGGTATCATTAAATAGACAGCGTAGATTGGAGATCATCTTCTTCGGTGTAGCGATCATCTTTCCTTAAAATGAAGGTGGGCTTGCCGCGTGGAATGCAGTGCTTGTGTTCAGAGTAACCATTGATTCAATAACCTGTTTGGTGTTCGGTTTGGTACTGACCAATTAGGCAGATCGTTTTTCCATTTCTCTTAATGTGGACGGGAAATTGAATGGTTAATGGAAGCGTCCAGGTACATACATGAAATTATTGGTTCGAAATTAACCAGAGATAGGTTGTGTGGAAGTTTCTTTATTTTGGTGACACTAAGGCAAATAAATTACACTTAATCTCTTGGAAGAGTACTTGTAAGCCCAAAAAGCTGGGGGGGGATAGGTATCCCGTCACTCCCTTCTCTCCAATTCAGCTACAACTGCTCTCTTCTTATCAGATTTTATAATTTACACAGCCCTCTTAGTTTTTTGGCTTTCTCATAATTATATTTCTCCCTGGAAGGAGCCTTCCACTAAAGCGTCCAGGCTATGGAAAAATCTGTGTAGAGATGCCATTTTTGCTAAGGAAAATTTTCATTTTAATGTTTCCTCTCACTCCAAGTATTCCTTATATTGGGATCATTGGTATAAAGGTAAATGCCTTAAAGAGATTGTAGCTATGGGTCCTTTTCTTTCTCTGTTTCCTGTTAATGAGAGCATTAAGATTATTATAGAGAGGGGAAATTGGGCCATTCCTGCTTCTCTCCCTCTTGCTGTTCATATGGCTTTCCAGGAAATTATTGTTGACCCGGTTACTAATATTAATCTGTATTGGGGAATTGGAAAACAATGCAAACATAAAGATTTTCGTGATTACTTTTATAAAGACTATGAGAAGGTAAATTGGTGGCATTTTGTCTGGCACAAAAGAAATGTGATTAGGTACTCATCATTTTGTTGGATGGCCATTAAAGGTGGGCTTAAGACTGCTGACACACTCATTAGCAAAGGCATAAATGTGGATCCCATTTGTGCTCTTTGCCATAGATATAATGAATCAGCTTCTCACCTTTTTTGCGAATGTGACTACTCTTTCTTCATTATTTCTAGCCTGATGAGGAACCTTGGGTCTTGTTGCTGCGGCCTAATATTATGCAGTTTTTTGAATATATTGCTGATACCCAACATGGTGAAAAAGATTTTTATTATCTACTTGTATGCTGTTCGGTATATCATATTTGGAGAGAAAGGAATGACAGGAAATTTTGGACCTCTTCTATCTCATCTACTACCTTAATTCATAGAATCAAAGCTGCTGTTTTGCCCAAGATTTCGCGCTGGAAAAATAGGGAAAATCTATTGGAATTGCTCTGAATACTTGCAGTTGGGTATGTTGATTTCTGGATGCTGTGTTGTTGGCTGTATCATGTGTGATCCGTCAAGCTTTTTTCTTCTGCTCTGGTTGTCCTGTTATCAGATTCATGGTACGTGGCAGGTATGGGCGATGATGATGAATTGCCATCTTCCCCTTTGGATGGCAAGGATTCCTCTTGCGTATTTTTGCAACCAGGTAGTGTGGGTGGCAATTCCTGAGTCCAGGTTTGTTACCTGCCACCGGTTGGTTTCGTATTTCACTCATTTTTGTGGGCTTCTCTGTTCTGGCCTTTCTTTTACTAGTATTTCTTACTGTTTTTCAACATTGGGTTTTTGTTTCTAGTTCCAGTGCTGTCTTCTTTTGAGCTTTAGGTTTTTGTTCTTATTTACAGCTTTTACATGTAACTAGTTCTTAGTTATAATGGAAAGGGCTTTTGCCCATAATTTCCCAAAAAAAAAAAAATTAACCAAAGATTACCAGTAAGATTTTAATTAGTTATTAAAAAAAAATAAGAATTAGGCATGAACAAGCGACTTGTTAAAGTTATAAAAATATTAAAAAAAGTTAGTATGAGAGAGAAATAAATTAATTGGGACAAATTAAAGAACGAGATAGAGAAATAAAATAGATTGTATCGATTAAAAAAATCAAAAATAAATTTTTTTTTTCATGTTGTATTGGAGAGGAGGTGCATCATAATTTTATTTAATTAAAATCTTAAATGTAAATTTTTTTCTTATTTTAAAATAAATAAATAAATAATTAAAGTCTTAACGGCAATCAATTTAAAAATTTACCCTTTAAAGAAACAATTGGTGGAAAAAGATTTATTAGGTAAATTCATTTCTATTTTTTTTATTTACCCTTTAAAGAAACAATTGGTGGAAAAAGATTTATTATGTAAATTCATTTCTATTTTTTTAAGAAAATAGAAAAAAATTAAATTTTTTTCTTAAATCAAAGGATATATATATATACATATATTGTGTCCTGCAATATTCACGGCTAATAAGAGAGAAAGGTGTAAGAATCATATGAGACACGAAAATTTTTACATGGAAAATCTTGAGAAGGAGAAAAAACCATGAGATTTGCTTTGTAAAAAAGATTCTACTAGTATTTATTATTGATTACAAATGATACCTTTTCTTGGGAGAAGGCTTTGACTCAATATAGTAAATGTAGTTCACATAGAGCACACTGAATGGTGGGAGTTAGAAGAACCTAGTGATATGAGAGTTGTTTCAAATATTATATTGTCCTATTTGTTTGGCCGGTAGCTAGGACCATATTCGAGCAACCAAAGTTTGATAGATCGTACTCTGTGGGCGAAGGAGGTCGGATGAACCATAGTTGGCATGCACCAGAGGTTGGAGGGATCGTAATCGGCTAGCAATTGAGGTTGCACATACGATATTCAGCATACCATGATATAAGGAGGAACTGTAGTCTATTGGGAATAGAGGTTGAAGGGATAGAAGTTTGTGGGGGACGAAGGTTGGAGGGACCATGGTCGGCGAGTGATGATGGTTTGAGGGACTATAGTAGGCGGGTGACGGTGGTCAAAATTTCATGTTGAGGTCCAATAGCGATAGCCTGGTGGTGAGAGTTTGCTAACCTGGTGGAGGTCCTACAATAGTCGACAAACAGGTGAAGGTCCGGCAGCATTAGTTGGATGAACAGATGTCTAGTGGGCATCAATAGATGATTGGTGGTCATGTGATGGACTGCATAAAAGCGATTATTTATGAATGGTTAGCAAATGGGAGGTGGTCTGGGAACTATTGTCAGAAAGGTAATGGTCCGATGATAGTCGACGAAAGTTTGTTGACAGTCATCCGATGACAACCATCATAAATATGTTGCTTATGGTGCTTGAGTGGAACTCTAAGAACCTTGAAACCTTAGAGCTTTCTCCAATCTCTAGCCAAATGGGTCCAAGCTTCCAAAGGTCTTTTCCCCCCTTTCATGTGGCCAATAGTAGCCATCAAGCGAAGAGCTGATGACAATGGTGATCGAGAGGCAAAGGGCCAACAGTCGCCGCCAAGCAAAGAGCCAATGAAGACTTTAATTGGGTTACTTTCTATTTAAGGTAGTAGGGATGCATTCTAATAAGGGTGGACTATGGATAGCCCGATGGATGGGGGTTAGGAAATGTGTCAATCACAGCAATTTTGCGACTCACAAATAATGCCAATTTGGTGGAGCTATAATGGAGCTCAAGGTATAATCTTTCCTTTAAGGTGGATTGAGAGAGATGCATCAGTGTGCTATATAAAAGTAGTCAAAAGAAATCCATAAATGATATTTAATTCACCAATGGATGCTTAAAAAAGCGTATGAGCGGTTTTTCGGTGCGCCACGAACTCTTAAAATGGGCTATCAAGTTTAAGGTTCAAGGGGGTTATACCTTCGGCAACGTTGGCGACGGCAGTGAGGGCGACAAAAATGCAAAGATACACATAGCCTGTCTTTCTTTCTTTTTTTTTTTTACCATAAACCATCATTCTCCCAAATGCCATCCAGCACAAGTAGGATTTTTTTTTTTTTTTTTTTTTTTCCAGCAGAAGTAGGAATTTTTTTTGGACAAGATCTCAGATTTAAGACTCTTTTGGAGTTCATCAAGTGTATCCAAAGGTCTAATCATTTTGAGAGATTCCAGCTTATCTGCATTGACTTTTTTAACATACAAAATGTTGGAAACACAAATTCCTTTTGTCATTTCATCTTCATAGATATGTTGCAAGAGAGTTGTATTCCTCATACCACCATGGCCGATTATATAGATGGAAGAGAAATGTTTCAGTACAAATCAGTTACCCGATGCTAATTTGATGGATTCCTCAACCACTCCATAACAAGCTCCTTATCCTTGCCACGCCCAATGATATCATTTTTAGCTAAGGATCCCATTTCACTTGATCCGTGCAGCTCCTGCTTTGTGTGTTTTAGCTGAAATAGGGAGCCGCAAGCTCTTCTCTTTCTGGCTAAACAGATCTAAAGCAAAATAACTAATGATACTTTTTCCTTTCCTTGGCTTGGCTTGAATCAACTAGCTATCCCTAGTGAATGCGAGCAGCCAAGTGTATTTGAGTGGATCTTCTTTTGGCTTGGAAAAACGATGAGATCAGGGAATGGCATGACTGCATGAGGGCTATTTTGTTGTTGAGAAAGAATTTGACAGAAGGAGATGGACTGGAGTTGAGTAGGAGAGGCTAGCACCAACAGGAGACTCCACAAACAGCAAATTTGCTTCTTCGTTTTTTTAAAAACTTAGGAGGAAGACCTTGAGATCTTTCTTGCAAGAGATAGAGAGGGAGATGGAGGGAGAGAGATTGACAGCAATTGGGGAGAAAAATACCTAAGGCTTCATTAATTTTCCCCAACCAATACATCATACAAGGCCTCTACATAACAATCTCCACCTTGATTTAGTTTTACAAAAACAAATAACCACTCGCCACAAGAACCCAAACTTGTTGCAATCCAACCGATTTCCCTGGACACCCGTGCGAGCTCCTACCTGCGACTTCGCACGATCTACCTGTCCACCGAGCCCCGCGCATTCACCTACGCTCCGCTCATCACAATCCCAAGTTCACGACCATCTTGCCTCCAAGAGGTTCTTGATGCTTCAACATGCTCCTAT